CATATATATATATATATATATATATATATGTATGTGTGTGTATGTATATGTATATGTATATATATACACATACACACACACATAATGTGTATGTATATATACTCTGCTGAATCCACAGTGAGGGTTCCTCACTTAATCTGGCAGTTCAAGTCAGATATTGTATTTTTGTTTGGGCCTAGAAGAGAGTGAGTATTATAGATGTCTTCAGTTTTCACCAGTGTTCTCTTTCTCTCTTTGTGCAAGATTTATACTTTTTGTTTGTCTGTTTGTTTGAGACAAGGTTTCTCTGTGCTGCCCTAGAACTTTCTCTGTAGACCAGGTTGTTCTCGAACTCATAGAGATTCTTTCACCTGTCCTGCTTCCTGAGTGCTGGTATTAAAGGCTGCACCACCATCACCTGGCAAGATATATACTTTTTGTTCTTGATTTAATTTTCATATCAGAATATATTATTTACTCATTCACATATGTATTATAATTAAAATATAATTACATTATTTTCCCTTTTCTCCTCCCAACCCCTCCCAAGACCTCTCTCTCCAATCCTCTTGCTGCCCCCTCACTGTCTCTCTAATTCACGTTGTCTTTTCTTTAATAATTATTTTTGTAACAATATAGCATAAGTATATAAACATGATGTGTCAAGTTCATTCAGTGTTGCTGGTATGTGTATGATTTCAGGACTGACCACTTAGTATTAGATAACCAATTAGGGGCTCCTCCCTGGGGAAAACTAATTCTCCCTCTGCTGTCAGTCATCGGTTGCTGTCAAGAGCTTTGTTATGGGTGGTGGCCTGTGTGCCTCTTCCCAATCTGTGCTGGAATGTTGACAGGTTTGATCTCATGCAGGTCTCCAACAGACAAACTCAGTTGCAGTGAACTCATGTAGACTCCAGCCCTGTCATGTCTAGAAGGCTCTGTTTTGCCTCAGTTCTCCCAGACGACTGGCTCTTATGGTTTCCTGATCCTACTTCCACGGTGTTTCCTGAGCCTTGGTGAGAGGGAGTGTGATATAGATGTTCCATTTGCATCTGAGCACACCCAGAGACATTTGTTGTCTGTACTTTGACCAACTTTGGGTCTCTATATTAATCGCCGTCCACTGCACAAAGATGGGGGAGGGTAATAGAAGAGATGTGATATGAAAGCAGAGTGGGAGCCATGGCGGAGGCCTGGGATGGGGGGAGGTCAGGGGACAGGGGAAGAGACAGTGAGAAAGATAAATAAAAACCAAGTCTGAGCCGGGCGTTGGTGGCGCACGCCTTTAATCCCAGCACTCGGGAGGCAGAGGCAGGTGGATCTCCGTGAGTTCGAGACCAGCCTGGTCTAATAAGAGCTAGTTCCAGGACAGCCTCCAAAGCCACAGAGAAACCCTGTCTCGAAAAACCAAAAAACAAACAAACAAACAAACAAACAAAAAAAAACAAGTCTGTATTGGGTGCCCCAAGAAACAATCTGTAATCCGTAAGGTTGAGATATCTTTATTGAGATAAATACCAGCCAAACGCAAGCCAGAGCATGCCAGGGGCAGCCGAGCAGCAAGGCCAGAGGGAAGGGGCAGAAGAAGGGGCTTCCATGCGCTCTGTGGTCCCTTAAGAGCCCATGCTGCGTCATCCTGACCTCACCTTGACCATGCCATCACAGGCGTGGTCAGGCACACCTGTAGCCAGCTTCTAACAGGGGTGGCTTACTGTCCCCTACAAGTATGTATGAAAATGCCACACAAATCCCATTACCTTATATGCTAAATGTTTAAATGTATAAAATAAATTTTTGAGGCACAATATGTGACAACCAAAGCACTAGCTATTCTACCTGTGTTCTGCCAAATTACTACAGGTCAGTGGTCTAGGTTCTTAGTCATCCCTTGAAGAGGTGTGAGGCACAGGGAGATTTGGCTGTATTTCTGTTGTTTTCAGGGGTACAAGAGAGAAAGAGGGGGTATCTCAAGATGAAAACTCATGGTGTGATGTACCCGAAACCCCTCATTCTATTCCATTTTCTTTATTTCCTAACCTTAAAACTTAGATTATTTTCTCTAATATCTCATCCGAATTAGCAGATAACACATGGATGCAATGGTTTCTAACTTGTTTGTTCTGTAATCAAAAATAAAACACACTTAATGCATATCTAATAAATATGTCTAGCAATATTCTGACATTCATGGCATCAGAAAAGAGTTTAATTAGGTATCTTCCTGCTTAGTAGGAAGATAAGGGAGATAAAAATGAATTAAATCTTATCTACATGTCCTGATGTACATTCACTTAGACAGGGGTAGACATTGACCTTGATAGTCTGTGCTACATTTTTTATGGCATACAAAAGAAGCGGGGGCGGGGAGGAGAAGCAAAAGTCACATTTTTCATTTCTTGAAGGAAAAAAGAAACCACAGCCTTAAATCTGTTGCTTTAAAAAAAAAAAAACAAAGTTACACAAACAGGAAGAGCATTAGACAAAGTAGCAGAAATGTGTAGTCAGTGTGAAAATCTAATGTGATTAAAATCATTTCACCCATTTACTTCAAAACCAACTTTGCTGATTTAAAGCACTTTTAAATTGTCATAAGTATGAATAAAACATGTTCAAATGCTATTTAGCTAGTAAATGGATGATATATGTATTGCTTTCTGATAATCTTATGAAGAGCCAGTGGAATGATCTATCAAGTTCCTGGGGAAACATGAGAGCATGTCATTGGAAACTTACACACACACACACACATACACATACACACACAAATACACAGGTATCCATATCAGAGCTGGAGTCTTGTGCTTCCCTGTGTGTGGTTCTTGAAAAAAAAAATCAACGCAGATTTCCTGGAACATTCTTTTCTTGGTGTGCTGGTGATACCAAACCTCCTTAAAGTGATGTAGGATATGCTGTTTCTTTCCTGGGAGGACTTGATGGCATAATTATCACGACCTGTAAAGTCAATCAGATGTTATTACATTATTCACAGACCCTCAGGGATTCCTTTCTTTACCCACATATTGTCACCATCACCATGCTCACCCTGTCACTACAGAATTGAATCTCACATCAATCTGATGGACTTCTCAGGCATCCCTTAGATCAGGCTACACCTAAGACACACATTCAGTTGTAGAATTTTATGCTTTAGGAACTTTGAATGTTAGAGTGGAACACTATGAGGTGTGAATGAAAGTACCCATGAGTTTGCTTAAAATGATGTTTTATAGAAAACACAGAGCTCTTTTCCCAAACCAATTTGCTAGTGCTGATGGCAGCAGGATACACAAACAATGACTTGGTTGCCATACACAAAGCAATGATAACTGGACTGGCTCAGAGTGTCAGGAAGCAACTTGAAAGCACGAATAAGTCTCATCCTTGTTCTGCAAAGTCGTCTGACATAGAGTTTGATAGGAATAGCTGAAGATCCTGGAGATTATTAGACTGACATTATATGTTACTTGCCATTGCAAGTCTAGACTCAGAGAACTTGGGAGCAATGCTTCTCAGCTTTACTACCATTATAGTGTTCACAAGAAGCTCAGACTTCCAAATAGTAGGTACTAAGGTCTGAAAGGTATGAAGGAGTTTGCCTATCCAAAAATGCTTCATCACTCAGTGAAATCACAAAATCTTCTGTGATACCCAACATACTTACAACTCTAGGACCTGAAATTGAAAACCTATTATACACTTCTCTGTGATCTAGTCCAATGCTCTTCTTTAGGCTGAGCCTGTGGATATGTAGATGTGGTGTTGCCTAGGAGCTCCCAGAAAGAGGAACAGAAAGATACAGATGAGCACCCAGTGATCTCATCATTTTATCATCACATTATTATTGGCTGTGAGTCCTGTCCATCACTTGGCATGTGGGCAATAAGACTATTGAGCGGCTGTGGGGTTTTACTACTACTAAATCAGTCTAGAGCCCTCAATATTTAGAGAACACAATGGTCATACTCTTGTGCTTGCCTACTTCTGTCTCTGCTCCTATTACCCACTCTTTGAGATCATCTTTCTGAACAGAAGTCAGAAGGATCTTATACAAGTATCAGGGTAAGCCAATGCCCAGGTGAGTACCAAGTGACAGAGAGGCCTTATTTCCAATGTTTCTTTGTAGCCAGAGAAAGATGCTATGATAAAAGAGTGGAGTAAATCTGGTACCCTCTGTGGACTTCTAAGATGTGAATTGTTCTCTGGTCTGGACTCTAAGGGGTTGTCACTTGCAAGAAAAAAAGGTAAAACCATACTATGTAAAACAGAATGTAAAACAAAAATCCTAGATGTCTTTCAGTAAGAATAGAAGAGCATATCGTTCCTATGAGTAGGCCATATATCAGTTGACTTTGAGCTAATTAACAATTAACAACATTCTAGATGAACCTGTTCAACTTGTGTGAATCAAAAGAACTCAAGACATCTGTCCCTTGGTATCTTCAAAGAAGTGACTATCCTACTCTCTATACTTAAGAGGATATGAATTGTGCCATGTGACTGTATAAGAGAAGCTTGAAGCTTTGACAGTTCAGATGATCCCACAGATCATCCAACTGCACAAACATGATCTTTCGAGACCTTGAATAGGAAACTCAGCTAAGCTGTGCCCATACTCCCCCCATGGGAGCTGAGAGGTGATGAGTGAGAACTGTGTCCAACTTTCATGTTCATGTGACTTATTACAGAGTGACAGAAAACATGAAGAGACATATTCAAATGAAAGCCAAAACTTACCCCACCAGGGTTACAGCACATCACTCTGCATCCAAAGGCAGAGAGAGACACACCAATGCAGAACTCCAGCACACTTAAAATGACCACCACAATATCCAGACCCTGTCAACAAATCACAGTGCAAGCATGTGAGGAGTTGGGGGGTCACATTCCAAACATTTCTACACTGAGAGAGTGGAGGCACTGGCCAAGAACATGATTTCTGGCACAGCCTGATCCTTAGCCAGTTCTTGGCTTTCTAAATGTTGCATATTCTGTCATTTTTTTTGAAGCACATACATTAGATTAGGCCCAATGACCCTGTTGTCTTTCAATAACACCTGTAGCTGATTCTTGCTAATTTCATGTAGTACAGTCCAGTTATTTCACATAGATATTTACCTGTTCTTTCTTACAAAGAACTTTCTTTACCTAACCTTTTTGCTTATAGTTTCATGCTTCATAATGTATCTTTTCTTTTTCACAAAAAGATGAGGGCTTCTTGAATTAAGAGAGCTGTTTCTTAACTTTCACAGTACTAACCCTGAGATCTTACAGAAATTATGTGCTCCAGAGACTTAGAAGATGGCTTAGCTGGTAAAATGCTTTCTATGGAATCATGATGAGCTGAGGTTAGATCCATAGCACCGCATAAATGCCAGGTGGGCATGATGGCCTGCATTCAATACCCACATGAAGGCAGGAGGTTCTTAGAATAAAACAAATTGCTAGACAAGCTGAATCTGAGAGTTGTGGGTTGAAGTGAGAGACCCTGCCTCAAAGTGGAGAGCAAGTAAGAAAGACACCTAACGAGTCTTTGGCCCACACACACACACACACACACACACACACACACACACACACACACTGGCACACACAGAGACACTCATGAGAACATGTATGCATATATTCACATATAACACACAAACATAAAAGTGTGTGTGTGTGTGTGTGTGTGTGTGTGTGTGTGTGTGTTTCAAGGTCTGTGGAATAATGTCACTGGTTCCCAGATAGGAACATACTTGACACTTCAAGAATAATGAGGCCCTTCCTTATGGAGGACCTCTGATGGCGCAGCCATATCTGATGGGAACAGCAAAAGTCAATAGGCCAGCACAGCCACTTGACAAAAGTCCAGCAAAGCTGAGCCACATGATGGCTGTCATGCCTGTTAGGATAAAACATGGGTGACCTTGTTGGATTCCATGGAAGGTGAGGGGACAAACAAGCCAGTCAGATGGAGCTTTAGTGAAAAGTTTTATTAGAAAGTGAAAGGGGGGAAGGAATGAGAAAAGAGGTAAAGAGACACAGAAGGAGAGAAGGGACAGAAGAGAAGAGGGAGACAGGAAAAGTCCTGTCTGCCCCAGGGGAACAGTGGGAAAGAAAGAGCAGAAGGAGAGCATAAGTGGGTGGGGGTCCTTTAAAGCAGTCCTTTGCACCTGCATGCTGACCAGGGTACTGCCTGAGTGCATTCTGTCAAGTGACAGGGGCAGGTCAACATAATGCCTGAATTCTTACAATGCCACCTTTGCTTTTCATCTCTACCTGTTGCATATTTGGGTGACTTAGTATTTGTTACAATTTGGGGATATTGGATTGATGGAAAATTTCTTATGAATCATTTATGCCTTCTCCCAGGAATGCTGTTTCTAAGCTTCCTCAGGAAAGTCCTGAACATACTTTTCTGCTTTAGGGAGATATCCTTATCTGCTTGAAGGTCTTCCTTATGCCTTGGAGGCTGTGACACACATAAAGAAGCCAGAGGTCTCTTTATGAGGCTACGAGGCATTCTTGAAACATCTGTCCCTGTACTTATGCAGGAACAAGATATTCAAAATGAAATAAACTCAAAAAGGTCAATAAGATTCAGTGGGCTACAGGACTTGGCCACAGTTCAGATTGCAAGCCTTTTCCCACTATACGCTCAGGCAATTAATTATGTGGCATATACAGTGACAAAATCAGATTGGCTGACGTTACCTCTGCTCTACACAGAGACTTATATTAATGAGCAAAGTATGGAGTGGAAAGATGATAAAATAGTGAGATGTCAGGACCTTGCTTTCTTAGAAAAGTTAGCACATGCAAAGCCACTGTGGTGTCATATGACCAAGAAACAACAGAACACCAGGATTAGACATGTAGACAAATTCTATAAATATATAAAATGTGAACATTGTATTACGCCAGAATTTAAATAATAAGTACAGCAGCTTTGGCCTGAGAATATTTCTTGGGCACTCTGACCATTAAGTGTTAATAATACACTGCTTGGGACAGGAGATATGCCCAGGATGTCTTGGAGATTATTTTGGTCTAAAGTCCTTGAAGCCATAAAAGCTACCAGCTTGAGAACAGGCTGTTTATGTGTCTCTAGATTCTTAATAATTGGGTTATGGGGTTAATGAGTAAGAATGATTATAAAAGATAACTGTTCATCAATGATGTCAAAACTTGAGGGAAAATGATTAAAAATGATAGCTCTTCTGTCATAGTTTATTAATGAACAAAAGGAAGTGAACCACATGTCTGAAAACAAAAATGATACGATTTATGTTTTGGAACAACATGAATGTATCCCTGCTTACTAAACTCTGTATAAATAAAGATGCACTCTGGCTGCTGGATTCTCCCCACCACCATGGCCTGACTCCCTGCCTCCCTTGCCTACTCTTTACATCCCTTCCTGAGTCTCCATCTGGGATGAGCTTCCTCTCTGTCCGTCTTTCCTAAAATGAAAGAAGTGTCCTGTGTCTGATTTCTCCTGTCACCGCTCTTGAATCCACCCATATTCAGATGCTGCCCTCATCCAGAGCTGGACTCGGGCACTCTGATGTAAGATGAAGCAGGAATTAAAAGAAAAAAAAAAAGATTCACACCATTCAGAAGACTTCGTGAGCATAACAAGAAGATGGCTGATTGTGATGAAAGATGATTCCTTTGTACAGTGTGAAGAAAGCAGCAGATTTTACAGCAAGCACAGAGCTCTTTTAAGCAAGAAGTATTGTGTGAGGTCACAGGCCCTATGGCCAAGAAAGCTGCCTTACGCAGCTTTCAATTCTAGAGCTATGTTCATGTCATTGCACCCTGGAGGCCTATGAGGTAACAGGCCTTCAGAAATAGCAAGCAAGATTCTTCATCAGAATAACTACATAGAATAGGTAAATTATGGGCAGGAAATTCCAGAACTTATCTTTGCCAAGTTCTGAGTGACTTTGGAAAATTGTTTCATCCGCTAAACATTTGTATCTCGTTTTGCTTGAGTGCCTGGCGGTTGAAATGCTTACTATAAAGACTTATAGGATGTTCAAGGGGGATAATTAGTTATCGATGGCCTTCATGCAATTGTGCTGATGTAAATAAATAGGGCCTAATATTCATGAACTTTAACTTGGAATCAAATGGACAATGCAGTTTGTTTTGCATAAGGAGGGAGAATGTTGATTCCTTATATTTACCTGCATTTTCTTCTCCTTTGGTCTCATTGTACCCAGGGATCTGAGTGTGAGATGTAACTCTCATTCCTAAACAAAGGCTTGATTTGTTTCTCTATGGTTTCTAACTTCTTAGGGGGATTCTATAATCAAGGAGTGTTATTCTTGGTTTTGTTGAGTCAGTTTGCTCCAGCCTTGCTTCAACCATAATCCCATGAAAACAGAAACCACTCACCATTAAAATGAGCACGGTCATGTTGCAGCTTTCCGAAGAGCTTCTATATGTACAGTAGTAGTAATGGAAAGAATGAATGCTTGGGCTCAGTGAGCTGATTATGATCCCCGAGAAGGCAAACACAGAACTGGTGATGTTCAAACCTAGGCTACTTCGAACCTAGAAAGAATAAAATTGATTAATTCAGTATCCTCCAATATCCTCAAGTTTATCTCCACCCATCACCTTAAACTCTTTAATTCTTTCCTTACACATTTCATCCTCATTGTTTTGACTAATTCAAAAGTATTCCAATTTGTCTCTACTGTTATTTTCAACTAAAATCTCTTGTTGAAACAAAAATGTGAATGTCATTTCTACAATTAAATCTTTCAGATTACCCCTACAGACGCATGAAGCATACTCCAAATTTCTCCTACCAGGGATTTCAAAACTATTATATTTATTAAAAATAAGTTTATTTATTTGGATGTTTGTGCCTGCAGAGGTCAAAGAACTTTTGGAGTTAGCTTTCTCCTTCTTCTGTGTTGGGGTAGGACATTCTCTTGTAATTTCTGAAGCTTCATAGCTCAGCTCACCTCCTATATGTCCTGGGGCTCAAACTCAGGTTATAAGGCTTAACACCTTCACCTGCTGTGCTGTCTCCCTGGGCTGTCTATCATACTCCAGCTGAAGCAGGAGATCTCTATATGTGTCTCTTACCATTCTCTGTTACAAGATAACCCTGACTTCTGCTTAGATAAATGCTGCTGAGCGCTCGTTGTCCATCTCCTTTGCACATTTCCTTCTCTGCTGTTTATTCGTTTCTTCAATTCTTTTCTAGTATTGAAAGTATATCAGCTTTTCATAAGAAGCAAATCTTCCCAGGAAAGATTTGTATCTTGTGAGTGGTTTGGTGAGAATGTAGCACGGCAGGTATATACTAATGGTGAAACTACCAGATATGATGTGGCACAGATTTAGAAGTGTTTTAAACACACTCTAGAGTTTAATGCATCTCTTTTGAGTAAGGATATGCAAATATGGTCCTAGCAAGTATCAAGCTTGTTGAGATCTTGGTTTGGAGCCTTTTTCTTGGCTCTGTGACAGATATCCTGGCATGTTATATTTTAAATTTGTCTCTTCCTGAGAGATAACTCATTGTGAATTTGTTTTATTGAATATCCAAAATCTTTTCTAGATACAATTAGAACACACATTTTGATCAATCAGTTAATAAATGCTATGTCTCTAAAATGTTGAGTGCCAGGCTTATGGGCGTGGACAGTAAACTTCAAGGTAGAGTTGATTCATAGCCCTTGACTTGTTCTCCCGAATCTCCACATCTGTACCAAGATTCTCTTTGAAAATCACTGATACATATTCAACCTGTAGTCAGAACTTAGCTAATGTTTTGACTAAAAAATTTAAGAGGCAGATTCTTCTAGATGAAATAAAAACTCTCCTGGAACTAGCTCTCGTAGACCAGGCTGGAATCACAGAGATCCGCCTGTCTCTGCCTCCTGAGTGCTGGGCTCCTTTGCTTTTTAGAGATTAAGATTTTTTTTACATCCTGGTAGAACAGATACTTGGATTATATCCCTCCTCTTTTGACACCAAAATAGCATTAAAAAAAACCTCACCAAGCCTTTTGTAGTTCTTCTTCCTGCTACAATTGAGAATGATCCTGAAATAATAAACTAGAAATAAGAGGTAAAATCCAGGTTAAAATACTTTATACATTATTGGAAATTATAATATATTAAAGCCTACTCCTAAATTTGGTAATATATGTGAAACAGATCGATTATCTTGAAAGAACCACAAAAGTTAAGGAAGTTTCCCCCCTTTTCCTAGAAAACAGAAGAATTCTACCAGACAGGTAACTGGTACAATTCATCAATGTTCTCAATTCTTTGACAATTTCATCCATGTTTATATTAAGTGATGGTCACTTCACCTCCCCACCCCATTACCCTTTCTCATTTCTTCTTTTCTACTGAAGCTCTTCTTCCC